GGTAAATAATAAATGTCAAAAGAGTATTACAGGTAATAAGTACTAGAAGGAAGTTAGGAGACTGTTCTTTCTGCTCCAGTAGTTCATTACACGTACCCTTATTAGAGCAATTATTACATTGTAATTGTTCACATGCTGTGTCTAATTTACCTGCCTGTCTCCTCCATTAGAACGTTAGCCCCTTGAGGGCAAGGCTGCAGTTTCACTCATCATCATATCTTCCATGTTTAGCCTGTTGTCTGGGATATGATAAATACTTACCACATGCTTGATGAATAAATGAATGAGGGTCACAGAAAGTAGGCACTTCTTTTGTGGCTAGTGTAGCAGAATGGTTAATTTCTGGAGTCAGGTTGTATTGATTTGGATCTTAGCTCTACCTTTGAAAAGCTGTGTGGCCCTGAAAATTTTACCTGATTTCCCTGCACTTCATTTTGCTCATTGGTAAGATTAGAATAATGGTACCTTTCTTTATTGGCTAATTTTACTAAGGAACAAGTCACCCCAAAAATTAATGGCTCAAAATAGCAACCATTTATTTTGCTCAGAGTTCTGTGCATTAGTAAATCTGAGCTATGTTGGTTCTGTCACAGCCGGGCTCATTTGTACATCCCAGGTCAGCTGGGACCATGTGGTATCTCCTCTGCCACGACTAACCTGGACTTTTTCACGTGGCCACTGGCAGGACTCAAAGAGGGGAAGCTGAAGCATACAAGGCCTTTTGAGGCTCAGACTTGGAATTGGCACAAAGTCACTTCTGCTACATTCTATTGACCAAACAAGCAAACAAAGCCAGCTCACTTTCAAAGGGTGGGGAAGTAGACTCCACTCTTAGAGGAAGAACAGCAAAGCCACTTCATAATGGGGTATTTATACCAGGAAGGATAGAGAGTTGGCGCCATTTTTACAACCTACCATATTCTCTCAAAGGATCAATGAAAGGATTAAGAAAAAAAAAAACATCTAAAGGATTTAGGCTAGTGTACACCTAACAAGTAATGAATTCGATAAGAATGAGCTATGAATATTTTGTTCGAAGTTGCCAGGAAGAGTTTCAAAATGGAAAGAAATCTGAGTTTAATCTGAGAAATAAGTGGGATTTCTCTATATGGAGAACCAAGGCCTCTCATAAGGATACAACCTAAAGATGTGCTGTGAGAGTTGGATGTGTTTCAGAAAGCAGCCAACAACAGACTCCCCAGAAGAGCTACAAGAGCCTAGGAACCTGGAGGACTGGCCAAGGACTTGGACTTGATCCTGGGGCAAGAGTAAACCGTTGGTTTTGACTAAATACTAGCCAATTGTACCGTTTCTTATCTTTTACTGTTATTTCAGATGTTTTGTTCTTCCAGAAGCTTCCTGATGCTACTGGTTTTGTGATATTTCTGGCCATGTCTACCCAAGATTTCAAATAGAAACCTACCATTTTTCTCTGGGTTTTGCCACTCTGTGGCTTTGGGGATCTAGGAGGTCCTTCTTTGTTCAATTTTATTATAAAATGGAATAATCCCTCCCTTCATCCATTTTACAATTGGTGGCCATCATGAAGGTCAGGCCACAGGAAGTAGTATTTACTAATCAAAAGCAGCACAGGAGAGACCAGGCTTTGGTCTTTATACAGTTTGGTGATCGCTCATAAATCTTAAGCAGAAAAGTCAAGAAAATAAAGTTTCAATGTGGCTGCCCCTTCATGTGAAGCAGCAAAAACCCTTCTGGAACTGTTCTGAAGATAATCGTAAGTTCATCCAGTCCAGTGAGATGGTCCTGAGCAACCAGAGCCACTGATCTGCCTGGGTCCCTGCCACCCGGAAGGCTGACCAGACAGCTTAGAGCTAGAGCTCTAGTAGATTGCTCAGTGGAAGCAGTTCCAGAATCTCTCCACTGTACGTAGTTTAAATGTAGATTCATTGATGAATAATTTTGATAATTCTGTCGAAGTATGAAGACTGCTTGAATTAAATGAACTACATGATCATATTTAGTTTTTTTTATAAGACAATTCTGGCTTCTCTTATGCCATGTGAAATCCATCCTGCTGAGTGCTCTTCACTAGTCACGTCCTTCCTGCCATTTTAAAAACAATAGTGGCAGAGATGCAAGCTGCTGATAGTGCTCAGCAGGACAGATCAAACACACAGATGCAATTTCTGTACGTTGAACAGTGAAGTAGGATAAAATTCAGATACTTACAATCGTTTAGTAGTTAGCATCTGATTGCTGCAAATTGAATCTTTCATAACGGGATTTATTGTAAATAGTGTCATATCATTTGTGAGTTCTGCAATAATCTCAGTCAAAGCCAGTGCAAGATATTGGAGGTGTGAGACTTACATGATATATATGCCAGTTAACACCCAGATTATGAAGTGATTTTTAATTATCAATATTATTTTTAATTGCTTACAAAACAGCCGCAATTGTAATTTCTTCTCTGAAATCTTAAACATTCTCAAATAGTGTAACTTTAAAACCCAGAAGAAAACAGCCTAGCCACTTCCCTTCAACAGCATTTTAGAATTGCAAGACCCAACCCTCTCTTGCTCTTCCACTCTCGTTGTTAAAAAAGCATCAAAACTATAGATAGTTAAAATTTTTGAAATATGCCTTTCATATTGTTTGGGAGCAACAGAGATCCTTGTAATCATAATTAGTGATCAATATATCCTATTAGTAAAAAAAAATAGAAATTCAAAATCAAGATATTTTGAGATCTCAAAACACATCTTACTTTATGAGAACATGGAGAAATGACAATAGTTTAAGTGATCAATACTCTTATTCCGCTTTGGATTTAGTTCCAAATACTTCACTGGAAGCTCATAAGAGGTAAACATCAAAAGCATACTATACAAATTATACTTTCAATGTATGAGAATTTGGTGATACTGCACATACTTGATAGATTTAATTGCTAATGCACAGAACCCCCCAAAAGACACTATATCACAATTACACAATCTTCCTGTTCAAGACCTAAATAAGGGAAATTCAAAAAAGGAAAAATTCAAAACAAATAGTAGGGCCAGAAGATTTGGATAATCTGTTCCCTTTCTTTTCCCTGCTCCAAACAAACAAAAAAAAAATCCTTTTCTATTATTTTACCATGTATTTCAGCTTTTTATTATAAATATGAAATGTGAAATACAGTATCTCAACAAGATCTGAATAAAGTATCTTACTCTCAGATAACCTAGGACCTTTATAGAGAAGGGCCTTTGTGAGGAGTAAATGCTTCAGTTCGATCCTTCTTCATTTATTTAAGAGCAAATATCCCACATGCATGTTAATGTTTATTATTCTAAATGGGGAACTCCTTATCTCTAAACCAAAGAATTTTCAGTTTTCTCTCCCTCTCTCAAGCAGGTGTCTTTCCATTTCTCACAAATCAAAAGGGAATGTGGGAAGACAGCCTTTCAGTGGTGCCCTGATGTGTATTTTAATAACTTTACTAATCAGAGCACATATAAATTAGAATGAATCATATTCGTATCTTTAATAGCAAGGAAAACTCAGTTTAACTCATGTCCAGCTTTCTTTCATGTTCATTTTATTCAAGGGCATGCCTTCTTTTTTTTTTTTTTTTTGCTTTTTTTTTTTTTCTTTCTTTCTTGGACACCTCCAACCCCCATTGACAACCGAAATGCAGGGCTATAAATGTAAGGGTGCAATACATCATGAGATAAGTCTAGAGAACATGTCCTCTACCAAAATGCACATGAATCTCTGGTACAGTGAAAATTCCAGAATCATTTGGGGGTTCATTTTGCATGCTAAGCAGGGTCAAAAATGTGAGCTGTAGGTGGTCATCCTTCTATATCAGATAAGGTCCAAAGTTTAAAGGTTACATTTGTGAAATTGCAGCTGGGTTTCCTAGCACTTGATTCTAGCTCCTGCAAATCAAAGACTCTTAATTGAAAGACAAATCTGATAATATGATAATCTTTCGATTAAAAAAATATGACTTCTGAACCCTTTTCTGTTGAAGAGCTGACACAGAAGTTCAGAGATGTTTGTTTAACCAGACAAAATGATAGAGAAAAATATGTTTTCCAACAAGATCATAAAGCTTGAATAGTGCAGGGAAACAAATGTAAAGCGAAGAGCTGTCCTCTATTCCGTCTACCAGCTCTAATTCCCCCACCCCCAGTTTGCACACTCCAGCCACTCACCTTTTAGGCAAGGGCTAGGGTCTTCCAAATTAGACTCAACCCCCAAATACCAAGACACTAGAAAGTGGCATCTTGGCATACTTTGAGATCAGACGTTTTCTGCATTTCATGGGGGGGGGGGGGAGCAGCATACCAATGTAGTGAAATCTGGAAACAACAGCATATATACAGACACAAAAAAAAGTTTGCATATTGCACAGAGCGCTTGAAGATCATAAATCTATGCATGAGAAAGATGTAGTGGAAATTTTGGGGGGGATTAGAGTTTATTTTTGTCATCTCTGTGAGACAGCTACTCATTCATCCAGATCACAGCTAAGAAAAAAGCTGGTCACAGAAATTAGCAGTTTCAGCTCAGCAGCGAAGTCGCCAGCCTGTGAAGGCAGAGAGAAATTGACTAATTAGCAATGCGCACTAAAACTTGACGGTTCTTTATAGAGAGAGAGAAGAGAGAGGGAGAGAGAGGGAGAGGGAGGGAGGGGGGGCTCGCTTTTTCCCCTTCTTTCTTCCAAAGATGTTTGAAATCGCAGTCATTTACGCTCGACAATTTTTACAATAGCCTTGAGCCATAATTTTGCGAGTCTCTCCAGCATCCATCCCCCTGTATGGTCTCTCTCTACTGGCCAAGCACGACCGTTTCTCTCCCCAACCGTGGATTTCCTATTACTCTCGTTACGACTCACTGAGCCCCAGGCCCAAGGATAATGATGTGTTGTTTCTTGGTAGCATAATTTGTCACACGTACATTTTTTCTTCTTCTTCTCTTGCAGAAAGCTCTGCTCCCTCTCTCTCTCTCCCTCTCTCTCCCTCTCTCTCCCTCTCTCTTTCTCTCTTTTCTCCCTCTCCTACATTTTCTTGCTGTTGCTAATTCATGGTGATCAAATGATGTACGACAAAATAAATTGTAAAGAGTGACTGCCTGGAGTTGGGAACCAGAAGGTGTTTTCCCCCTCCCAAGGAGAGAGCAAACCTTTAAAAAGGAAGGACAATTGATTTTTGGGGGGGAGCTTAAGTGAGCCTTGACTTTGCAGCTGGTTGAAAGCAGGTAAGTTTCTGGCCTTGTGTCTGCCTTGTGTGTATTTTGTTCTGTCTTTTGGGTTGTTGGGGGGGAAGGGACGGGGAGGGAGTCTTTCGGGGTGGGGGGGTTAGTTGTGTGGCAAACGCTCATAAACAATAAAACTCCTATTGCAAGAAATAAGCAGATGGGGGGGAAGGCAAAGGAGAACAAGAAGGAAGGGGAACAGGAAAAGATGGGGTGGGGGAGCGAGACAACGAAGCGGGGAGAGCGAGAGAGAGGTAGGACCGGGTCCACTTAAAGGGAGAGACTCTGGTAGATGTTTCAGGAAAGCCAGAGCTTTGGGGGCCGGTGGGGGAGGGGGTCCTGCCCGGGGAGGTAGCTCGAGGGAGGTTAGGGTCCACCTGGAACGGGATGGTAAAGTGAGTCGAGAGGAGCCCAGTGTGGTATAAATAGGAAGCCGGCGATCCAGGACTGGCGCCAGGCAGGGCAGAGTGAGCCGCAGTGGAAGGGGCAGGTCCGGCGGGATCCCTCGGAGCCGGGCGGCGGCGGCGGCGGCGGCTCTCCCGGGCGGGCGGGCGCGCGGGCGGGATGTGGGCAGAGGGTCCCTTTCTGCTCGGCCCTGGAAGGTGTAATTACAGGTTAAGGACCTGGCGTATCGATTTTGCCTCGCCTCCCCCATCCTGCCGTCCTCCGCCTAGATGCGGGCGGTTCAGACTTTTTTTTTACAGAAGTAGTTCCAGGGCCAGGAGTGTGGGGGTGCCCGAGTCGGGGGCCGCTGGGGGGTTGTACCGAGGGTCTCGTAGGGAAGCTGAGGCTTCGCGCGGAGATGCTGGGTGGGATGCAGAGACACCCCCCCACGGAACCTGCCCCCCCCATTGGACTGGCCCCACCCCCTCCCCCAACACCTGCTAGTTAACTTGAACTTCTCACAGTTACTGGAGTTAAAGCCACTGTTCCTGGTGCCTTGGAGACAGAACCTTTCACGTGAATCCCTCTGGGCCTCCCGGCTCCTGCTCTAAATCCACCCCAGTGGCCCCACTTCCTCCCTCCCCGTCTTCCCCGGTGCCGCCCCGCGAGAGAAGGGGAGATACACGTCTGAACTTCCGCGCTTTGAAATGCGGGGGGCGGGAGAGAGGGGGCCGGGGGTGGGGGTGCTGAAAGATTCTCCTGCCAGGTTTAAAGGCGTCTCTGGAAAATTAGCAAAGCTGAGTGGTGACGGGGAAGCCAACAGTTTGCGAAGCAGGCAAGCAGGCAGGGCCGGGGTGAGGGAAATGAGCTAGAATTGATAAGGACAGCTCCCGCCTCTGCCGAGTCCACTGAGCTGGTCCTCACCGCGCTCCACTGCACTTTCCCGGGAGAAGAAAGGGCTTTATCTGCTACCTCAGACTATTAGGCTAGGAGTTTCTCGGGGCAGCACGGATAATCGAAGGGGTTCCCAGCTTTTGGAGGGCTAAGAATCGCCCACCCGCACGCTTGTCAGGTCCCCTTTCCTACCCCCCAAACTGGACCAACTGCGAAAAGCAAAGCTGCAGGCACAAGTTGACCTGGAACCTCCGCCGACGGTCGCCTCTGCGCTCTCCGGGAACCCCCGGCTCCCCACTCCCCGGCCTTTCCCTTCCTCAGGCCCGGCATGGACACGAGCCCACGAGGTGTCTCGGCCTCCGCCGCCACTTTGCCGTCGCTGCTGCCACCTCTGTCGCTGCCAAGAGCCGAGCCAGGGTGGTTTTAGGAAAGTGAGGGACGAAGTGTGTGGGCGGTGGCGAGAGGAGTAGCAGGGAGCTGAACCGGCGCCCCGACCCCAGACAGGGCCCTTGTGGTGGCGCTCACGTATTCAGTGCCTTCAGACCTTACTCCTAGGTTCGGGGTCCTGGGGCGCGCCGGGCAGGAGCCAAGCTGAGCACTGATTGTTGTTCTTCGCCCTCCCCTCCCCTCCACACCCTTCCCCACCCCAACCACACCCCACCCCCTCCACTACCCTTCTCCCCTCCCTCCCATCCCCCACCCGTCTGCCAGGTTGGAGGAGGATTTAAAGCCAGGTGCGCCGAGTCAGCTCGCCATGTCCAGATCCGGGGACAGGACCTCCACCTTCGACCCCAGCCACAGCGACAACCTGCTGCACGGCCTCAACCTGCTGTGGAGGAAGCAGCTGTTTTGCGACGTGACCCTGACGGCCCAGGGCCAGCAGTTCCACTGCCACAAGGCCGTGCTGGCCTCCTGCTCGCAGTACTTCCGATCGCTCTTCTCCAGCCACCCCCCTCTCGGGGGAGGGGTCGGCGGCCAGGACGGCCTGGGGGCCCCCAAGGACCAGCAGCAGCAGCCGCCGCCGCAGCAGCCGCCGCAGCAGCAGCCGCCGCCGCCGCAGGAGGAGCCCGGGACTCCTTCCTCCTCCCCCGACGACAAGCTGCTGACCAGTCCCCGGGCCATCAACAACCTGGTGCTGCAGGGCTGCTCGTCCATCGGGCTGCGCCTGGTGCTCGAGTACCTCTACACGGCCAACGTGACCCTCTCCCTGGACACGGTGGAGGAGGTGCTGTCGGTCAGCAAGATCTTGCACATCCCCCAGGTCACCAAGCTCTGCGTGCAGTTCCTCAACGACCAGATCTCGGTACAGAACTACAAGCAGGTGTGCAAGATCGCCGCGCTGCACGGCCTGGAGGAGACCAAGAAGCTGGCCAACAAGTACCTGGTGGAGGATGTGCTGCTGCTCAACTTCGAGGAGATGCGCGCCCTGCTGGACTCGCTGCCGCCCCCGGTGGAGTCGGAGCTGGCGCTCTTCCAGATGTCCGTGCTGTGGCTGGAGCACGACCGCGAGACCCGCATGCAGTACGCGCCCGACCTCATGAAGCGCCTCCGCTTTGCGCTCATCCCGGCCCCGGAGCTGGTAGAGCGGGTCCAGTCTGTGGATTTCATGCGCACCGACCCGGTCTGCCAGAAGCTGCTGCTGGACGCCATGAACTACCACCTGATGCCCTTCAGGCAGCACTGCAGGCAGAGCCTGGCCAGCAGGTAGGAGACAACAAAGAGGAGGGCGGGGGGTTTGGGGGGGGGGCTGGAAGCAGGAAAGGCCGGAGGGAGGGGAGGGGGCAGAGAGGAGCGGGGAGAGGGGTGGGCTGCGCGGGAGGCTCTGGCAAGCTGAAAACAAACGCAAACAAACAATTCAGACTGTGTGGGGAAAGTTGATTTCGGGGTCCCCGAAAGGTCAACGGGGAAGTGGCCTAACAGCATCCCTGAGCGCTAGAAAGCCCACGTTCTCAACATCCCCAGAGCAAGAAATGTGGGACTTGTGAAATTGACAGGCAGGTGGGGCCAAAGGCCGGGGCAGTTACAAGTGCAGCTCTGGAACCCTCTCTAACCAGTCCTCCCTCCAAATCTCAAAATGAGCTGGCTTAAGGAAAAGGATTCTACAATGACAAGTCCCACCCCACTCCACCTCTTTCCTGCCTTGGGTGAGCAGGAGCGCCCTGGCGTCGCTCCCTGAGGAGAGCTTTCATTCTTTCTGTCAGACACTCAAGTTTTGTTGTTGCTGTTGTTGTTGTTTAGTGACTGAGGTCTGCTCCCTTTGGAAGTTAGAGCTCCCAAATGTTTGGTCTATTAGGGTCACTATTGGAAATTCTGGCATCACAGACCCAGGCAAACTTTTCTGTCTTGTGGAAAGCCTTTCTTTTTCACTTTTAAAGGAGAGCAGAGCAAGAGGTTTCAGGATGTCAGAGTGAATCATGCCTAGCAGCTCCCATCTCTAAGGGGAGCACAGCTGAAAACTGGCAGGAGAGTCATCTGGCTCCAGTTAGGTCCTTGCGCTTGCTCTGAAGTCACAAAGAAGTTGGGGACTTTTTGTTGCTCTTTGGAATGTGTCTGTGTGTGCTGCTAATAGGGTTTCATGTCAAAGGGGAGAGAGAAATGATGCCTTTTTAAAACGTTGCTGAGTTTTAACTGTAGGACTTGACAGTCATATTTTATTGGCTCCAATTTTAAAACCCCTTTTAATGAGCCCTAGCAGAGGGTTTCTTTCTCTTTTTAAAAAAAGAGAAACAGTATCTTCTCAGTTTCTCATGATAAAACATCATGATTTCAGATGCCAGGCTATCCCAGCCGAATCCACCGGAGTGTTACATCGTTTAAAAACCCATCATGCCATTTTCCCATTCAGAAGGATGTCTAACGTGGGGAGAGGGGGGTTCATTTTGTGCAGCTTTATGGAATTAAACATTTATTTTTTAGTCATGATGCTTCTACTAGACACAGGTAGAAATGTTTTAAGAAAAGGAAGATACTCTCTACAGCAATGATGTTCAGGTGAGGCCCACAGGGGAATGGGAAATCTTGGATTTAGAAACCTTCTAAGTTGATTTTCTACTATTTGTGAGAGATGAGTTAATGAATCGTGTCAATAAATGACAGTAGGACAATAGCACAAGAAAGAATTCAAACCCTTGTGTGCTTGAATAGTGAGCACAGGAGTCCAAGTGTGAATAAGAACATGGAATGTACTTTTATTTTTGTAAGAGTTTTTCATTTGTCTAAAGATCAAAACTTAGTGCGATGGGCAAATGTCACCACACCACACTGTTATCTTAACTTTTATCACTTTTAAATGACCTACAGGTATACTTAATTTAGCATATATTATACATATTGAGGAATTCAGACAACACAGTTATAGTCCTGAACATACATTTACTGGTATTTTTAAAAACATGTAAAATCTAGTAGAAACTCAGAAACCCAGAGGGATAATAAGATTAAGGCTTAACTTGTTTTAAGAGTGACTTTGGGATATGAGCATTACAAATTTGATCTTTTAAAGAATTTCCGAAGCCCTCAATGCACTTTTACCTGATAAGTATGTTCTAGGGCTCAGTGTTAGAACAGTTGACTTTCAAAATGCAAAATCCATTTTCCACCTTCGTCTGGATTCAGCATACCAGCTGGGGCCTGCTGGTTCTGTCCTGGTGGATGGCTGAGATACCAGGCTGCCTGGCTCCGTGACGACACCTTCCAGCTTCACTGGGCCATATCATTTGAAGGATATGTAGTGGTGTCTGACCACTAAATGCTTACAAGTGTCATGGATGCTGCAAGAATCTGATACTTCTGCGGTAGGAAGAAAACTGTATTTTTCTTTAAAAGCGGAAGATAGAAGAAAACAGTTCACGTGGACCTGTTGTTAATCTCAAAATAATATAATTTAGCTTTTGTACCATTATTGATAACTGTAGCATTTTAATTTGGGGGGGCTAATTACATTATTCCAATTTTAATTTGCAGAAAGAAAGAACGACTAACCATCAAGATCTTAACTTTAATGTAGACAAAAATGCTGTAAGTTGTAACCAATAGTATTATATTGGCCCATTTATTATAGCATCAGCAGAATATAAAAATGTTCTCTCAGACTTATATGTAGTTTAACAGAAGGATAAATGTGCTACACAATTGCTTCTGCAAATACATCACTTTTATTGAAGACAATTGAATGGAGATGCATTGTATATATTACTTTTTATCCACCTATAGTTTTTAAAGTCTAAACATGAAATAATTCCTCAAATTTAGGCAGGGAGTTGAAAAATTAAAATTGACTAATCTGTTGGAAAAAGTACAAAATATAAGGAAAGAGAATCACTTCAAAAAGAATTTATTTTTTTAAGAATACATGTTATCTATTGAAAGTAGGGCTATTAATGTAATAACAGTATTTTAAATATTTTTAAAGATTATTAAGTAATTTTGAATTTTTATTACATCTAGAAAAATAAAGCAACCCAAGCCTGAAGACTTGATAAATACCCAAATTAATAGTTAATTTTTGCTCTAGTTGCTTTAGTTTTTCTGAGTATGCCATTATGCTCAGATTCATGTTTTATTTTAGCAAATTAAGCATAAGAATAATAAATTAAAAATAAAAGACTTATTGTCTAATAGTCAAACATATGCATAACTAATTTAAGAGGAAAGGACTTCAGGAGACAAAAATTAAGACATTCGAAATCTTCTTGTTTTCTTTTGGTTTTATTGAAAGAAATATAAAACTTAAGAAATAAGTTCTTGAAAAAGTTTCTGGAGAAGTCATTTTTAAAGACTTCTAAAGCATGAAAATTTAATAAGTGACATAACATGCAGTGTTTAGTACATTAATAAGTAAATATCAGAAGACATACAGTCTGAGTTTAGCTTAAGCAACCCCAAAAGTTTCTTTTTTATTTGTATTTTTAAAATTTTAGTGCATAATTTAGTAGTTATTCAAATAAGTCAATTTGGACTGGATTCATTAACTTCTTTTTTACATCTTCATTGCATCTCACACAATGTAGCAGTTAAATAAATGCTTACTGAAAGTTGAAAGAATTAAGATTATAAAATAAGAAAGCTCAGTGTTGCACTTCACCAATATGTTCCTCAATCTACATTACTATGGCACATAAAAAAAGTCCATTGAACCTTCTACAGGAAAACACCCGTAATAGAAAAGCATTGTTGAAAATAATCATATTTTTTAAAACATTTAACCACCAGCTATAACAGTCCAATGTACAGCCTTATACTGAAGTGTAGTTTTCCAGAGAATATATTTCATAGAAGACAGAAGGCTACCTTATAAAGATTTCACTCTCTAAAAAAGTCTATTTAAAGATTTCATATAAATTAATTTAAAAATCTACTTAAACATCAGGAGCACAATTATCTATTGGCTAAAATGACTTATAATGATTAAAAAGCCATTAGATTTCCTAATACGCAGCTTTGATTCCTGGCTTTGGTGCTTAGAAAGTGTTTCTTTAAATGTAGGACTGTATTTTCTATTGGTTCTCTTCCTAAGGCCTGAGTAACAACCTTAGCAAAGCAAACTAATCTTGTATCCATGTATTCTCTAAATTGTTACTTCCCTTTCCATCAATTTGATACCCTCAGATTAGAAGTGGTTAGGTAGTTAGATTTTTGTATCAGAAGTTACCCAACCATTCAGAATACAATTTGTTTATTATGTGAAACAGGACCATTGATTACAAAATTATATCACAGGTATGGGAGCCAAATAGTTATATCCTACAATCAAAAGGCAATTAGAGTAGGTATTAATGTGTTGTATTGGCTTAGAGGATTTACTGACAAAAGGGGACATGTTCAAATTTTAATTCATATCTTGTATTTTTTCCATATTTATGAACATGTTGAAGTTCACTCATTACCTTAGCCAATTTCCAAGTATCTCTATTTTCTTAACTTAAAAATGCGGTAAAAAATATAACACTTTATTTACAACAGCTACTTTATACCAGAGGATCTTCTAAGCGTTTTACAAACATTAACTTATTTAATGCTCAAAACAGCCCTAAGGGATGAGTACCAGCATTAGCCTCATTCAATAGATGGAAAAACTGGTACACAGAGAAGTTAAGCATGTTGTCCCTGGTTGCACAGCTGCTAAGTGGTAGAACCAAAGTCTGAGCCCGGGGAAGTGTGGCTCTGGAGTCCGTGTTCTCACCCACAGTGTTCCTCTTCTTGCTATGAGCCTCTCCATGCTAGGATATGATCTAGTGATCGTCCTTGGAGTTATATATAGACTTAAGACTTTCCTTTTGGAAAGAAACTTGTGAGGGTTAAATATTAACGTGTCTGACTTTAAAAGAAGTTAAGGAAAGGTATTGTTCTAGGCCTGGGGTCAGAATTTTTTTTCCTGTAAAATACCAAATAGTAATTATTTTTGGCTTTGGGAGTCACACAATCCTTGTTAAAACTACCCCAGTCTTCCCTTGTAGCACAAAAACAGGACAATACGTGAATGAATGGGGTGGCTGTGTTATAATAGAACATCACTTGTGGGCACTGAAATTTTGTATAATTTTCACATGTTATGAAATATTCTTCTACTTTTGATTTTTTTTTCCTCCACCATTTAAAAATGTAAAAACCATTCAGGGAGGAGGGCATATATAAAAACAGGAGGCAGGCCAGATTTGTTGTGTGAGTCATAGTTTGCCAACCCGACCTAGGCACTTGGGCTGTAT